TTCAGGTAGTACTACTGGCAGAGAAGCATGCTCCCCCAGGGTGAGGTGGGGCAGGGCCAGGAGGTACAAGGCCCATGAGGACACGGGGGAGTTCTCAGTGGGCCCTGGTGTCTCTGATCATCCAGTCAGGTGGACTCCTGGGCCCTAAGGCCCTGCCCAGCTCCCTACATGAGCCCCCCAGCTGACCACCCCACTTGTGGTTGGCCCCTCTTTCACTGTGCTGAGCCCCTAGAGCATGAGGATGGGAGGAAAGGGGAGACTCTGTACAGGTAAGGAAGCCAGCAGATGACCAGAGGCCTGCGAGCATGGACAGGCACAGCTGCCCTGGAGCAGAATCTCCTTCCCACGTCCACACTGCCCCAATCCATGCCCTCGTCCACCTCACAGGAATCTTTGAAGATCATACAACTTCGAATCCCCCACTCAAACAGCTGCCGAGTGTAAGGCCTTCACTATGAACCAAAAGACGTCCACACACGGTCTCTGCACCCACACACCCACAGGCTCCACACCCTTAGAAGTGTCTTTAGTCGGGCTATGCTGTGGAGGCCTCAGGGTCTGAAATGACTGAAAATATTTACCTTTCACGGTCATTTTGAATTTAGGGAGGATCCAGAAGTCGCATGGTGCCAGATCCAATAAGCAAGGTGCATGAGGACGCAGCGCCATGTTCCCTAAGCCTGCTTTCTGTGGGGCGGCCCTCAGCAGCGTTAGCCTCATTTTTGGTCACATCAATAAGAGAACTTCCAGAACTGCTTCAGAAAGGGCCAGGGGCCCTGGCTCAGTGTGAGGCACTGACTTCCTTATGCGTCTGACACTGACCGAAGTCCAGCTGCCGGTCCCTGAGGCTGCTCTACAGAGGCAGATGGACAAGGAGAGAGACTGGAGATTTTGAGGGGAAGAACACAGACTTCTGAAGGGAAAGACCCAAGTCCACATAAGAAAGCAGACAGAGCCAGCTCAGAGTCCTCCTGTCACTGCTCTTAGTCCCTTCCCTGAGAGTACCCAGGGCCTCCTCAGCTTCCTTCCACCTCCCATCCCCATCAGGCTCTCCCCACCCCACACCATCGTTCAAGTGCTGCTGTCTCATTTGATAAGCTAATCTCCACCAAAGGGAAACTATCCCACATGGATGTCATCAGATAATACAAGTGAAGAGTATCCTGAAGTGTCGGCAGGCCGGGACACTGTGCGAGGTGACAGATGAAAGAAGAGAGGCTAGAAGGTAGCTCTTTCGGGGCCTTCAGATCATGCCACACCCTCAGAAGGCTCAGCAGGCATCCTCAAGGTCATCACATAGGCGGAGAGGTGGAGAGGGTCTCTGACAGGAAGACGGGCAGGAGCAAGAAGCAGAGGACTAGAGGGAGTAAAACAAGCTCAAGCCTGGGTCTGATTTATTTCACTTAACATTACGCATGCAAGGGCATCCATATAAATCCATATAAATAAATAGTAAGGGAACACAAGAAAAGTTCCAGCCAAGGTTCTGGCAGAAAAGCTGAAACAAGAGACCACAGACACAGTGAGGAGCAAGCCAGGGCAGGGCAGGAAGCGGTTCACTGGGTTCGACCAGGAGGTGCAAGGCGAGGTGAGTCAGCGAAGCCCTGGGAGCTTCCCAGAGCCCCAGAGAGAACTGAGGTGGGAGGCTGCTGAGGGAGCTGGGCCCCCAGGCTGCAGGGCTTTTCCTCAACGTTTCCCTCTTGACATCATTACTGTCTCATTACTAACCATGCATAGGTGAAGTGCAAAGGGCTCCTGGAAAATGGGCAGCCTCGATCGCCAGCACCACAAGGCCACTGCTTCCGGCAAGGCCAGACAGCCCAGGAGGAGACAGAGCATCCACACCCTCCTAGGCCACACACAAGACTTGGGGCAGTGATGTCCTGCTGACAAGTGGCTCCTGAGGGAGCTCGGAGTGACCCGGACCCTTGCAGACATGAACAGAGGGTCCCCAGCTTACCACAGTTCCCCCTACCAGCTGTTTGGCTCTAGAGTGGTGTAAGTGTACACATTTGACCATTTTATTTCCATTTTCCATACACCCAGCTATTCCTATGGTGGTGGGGGTTATATATAAACCTTCACACTGCGGCTCCTTCATTCCAGAACCACTTAACTTGCCGGATACGCATATAACTCCGGGGATATAAGGCTAAACAGATCACAGCCCTTTCACCAAGCCCTAGGTGCCCACAAGGGAGGTGGACGAATCAGAAGGCAATTTCAGGAAGGGGAGAGCAGCTGAGGTTGAGACGTAAACAAGGCCCTGGGCTCTGCCTGGAACTGTCAGGAAAGACCCCCAAGGACATGACCTCTGAGGCTCATCTAGACAGGCATCTGCCAATGGGCAGGGGGAAGAGAGAGGCTCCAGGGAGGAGGAAGATCATCTGTCCTGCAGCAGGCCTCTGAGCTTGGCTACTGCAGGTCATCGAGCCCCTGAGAGTGAGGGCTGGGGACTGAGGTCCTCCTTGGGCTCTCTTCCTACCCAGGGCACAGGCCATGGTCGGTCGGCTGCAGGAGACTGGGGCTGCAAGAAGGACCCTTCCGGACTACGGTAAGCACTTTTTAACGCATCCTACAAGGAAGGCCCTTTATAGTTTTTCTTGACAACCTTCCCAATATCTCAATATCTTCTGCTGGTCACTTCACCCCTCCCCTCACACACACACAAATGCATGTGCACAGACACACACAGACACACACTCACACTCACACTCACTCCAGGGAGCATAAACTTTCTGCAGCTCCCAAAGGTGATCTGACTTTTTTCTTATCTTTGGTCTTTCATATTATTCTTATTTATGCTTCTAAACATTTTTCCTCAACCCTATAACCATCCAAATTGCACTGTGTAAAACATTCAGGTTTCAAATTTTATAATATTAATATTTATATATATATAGCATTTTAAGCAAGGGAACAATATGATTAGGACTACATTATAAAGATCATCCTGGTTAAACTGAGGATAAATGCAGTGCTGGGGGAAGGATGGATGGGTAGTTGAATGGGTGGATGCATGTACAGATGGGCGGATGAATACATGGATGGATGGATGGGTGGATGGATGGATGGCTCCCTAATGGTTTTGTTGCTACAGGTGTCCTTATACAATTCATAAAATGTTATTTTATTGGTTACACAGCTAGTCAAAAAACTCCATTGTCTCCAGGCTTACAAAACAACATGGCATTCAAAGACTTCCACGTGTGGTTTTTATATATCTCCACAGCCTAATCCCTCCATCAGAAAAGAACACTCCTTTTTACCTAAACCTCTTCCCAAACTCATGCTCATTTTATGTCTTTACTCCTGCTTGGAATATTCTCTCCATTTATCTAAGTCCCACACAGCTAAATTCCTACTCCTGTACCAGGTCTTCCCCAGCCATTGAAGTTCCAAAAATTTGCCTTTTCTATCTTCACATTCCTAGTAAAGGATCTGGATGCAAAAGGGGCTCGATAAGCTTTTGGAGATACTGATGCAGAGGACTGGAGAATCCTTCCTTCACAGTAAAGTTTGAAACAGGATGCATTTGCCTGTGCTGTACTGAGCAAAGACACACCCTAAAGACAAAACAACACTACTCGCGGACACCCTATGTGCACTGAGCACTACTCTAAGCAGTTCACATGTGTCAACTCATTAATCTCCAGGATAAACCTATGCGGTTTACTGTCACCATGTACTCCTGAGAAAGCCAAGGAATAAAGAGATCCCGTAAGCTGCCCAAGCTCACCTGCACACTCACAGTCCACTTATAACCAGCAAACTGCACTGTGCAGAAGGAAGGGGAAGCCAAGGCAGCCTGGAAAACTCCCTCCCAACTGGGCTTTCTTAGAATACCTCACTTATACCTTTAAAAGGCCTTTTCCTAGATAATATTTAGTCCAGGCTCAAACCCAAGATCTAAAGGCCCAAAGAGATTTACCTCAGGAAGTGCTTCGCTCAATGACAAAATTCACAAACTGGGACTGGCAAAGTTGTCCAAATGAAGCCTACTACCTCTGGGGAGTGGGTGATGAGATTAAGGTGTGTGTCCCTCCTGTGTGTCAGGAGGGAGTAGCTACCTACAACATTATTGGTCAAATCTGTTCTGATAGCTTATTAATTATAACCTGATTGGCAAGAGATTTGTTCTGCTTTCTCTTTCATTCCTATGAAAGTGTGTGATGATGTACTGATCTGAGGAGCAAATGCAATCCTTTCCCCACCACCTACACACACACACACACACACACACACACACACACACACACACAGAGAGAGAGAGAGAGAGAGAGAGGTTTAACAAAGTTGATTGACGCCTCTTCTAGGTGCACTGGGTGGACCCTCTCAGTGTCCCTCATCTCTGTCCACCACTCACACACAATCCTCACTCTCTCCTCCCCCTGGGTGTAATCAAGACCGATGATCTCTTCCTTATTCCCATCTCTCTCAAGGGGGAACAGGTTTCTGTCTCCCAAAATGGACTGGGTCTGAGATTAAAATCTAAGGCAGCACTTCTAATCCTAGCTCCCACCCTCATGTCATGGAGGCCTTTGGATCAGGGTGAGGTGTTGGCATCATAGGATTCTGAAGACATCAGTAATATGAATGATCCAGAAGATTTTACAAAACATCCCAGTAAATCTATAATCTGTACAAAATTGCTTGGAAAACTTCTCTACATTATGGCATTATTGACTGGCATGAATAAATTCATATCATATAGACATGATCCATCCTATAGATCTGCTAGACTTTCCCTTATTGAGGACGGCGTTCATCATTGCAGCCTCAGCTCTGAGCATGGAGCCTGGCACTGGTAACCTTCATGGAGAGGTCAGGTTCCTGCTCACAGCCTGGGAAAGGGAAAGTCTCAAAGAAGAACCAACCAAGATGGCAATACCATGGGGAGGCTGGAAGAATTGTGGATATGCTGGGACACCCAGGGACTCTCATAACTACTGAGCTTCAAGAGGGATTGGAGATCCCACAATAACTAGTAGAGGAAAAGCTTGAGAGATACATTCTTTCTTTATTTGGGGTTTTTTTTTCACCTTTCAACTAACAGCCTTTATTCTTGAGCCCATAGTCATCCCTCCCTAAAACCACAGGGTCTTAAATCAACTTTGATCATTTAACCAAAAAGTTTCTGAAAAAGAACCCCTGGGAAATAACATTGATTTCACAGACATCAAGTGGGTCCTCAGCTCCAGTCCACATCTTTGTCCTGCTGCCGTCTGGGTCAGGTGGCTGAAGGGCACACTCTTCAGTCTCTTTGTTACCACATCTCCTCAGCCATTAGTGAGCTCCGATTTCTTGGAGATTCTAGAAAGCTTTACAAGCCTGTGGTGATGCTTCCAGTACTCATCTTTCTTCTACAGTTGTACATGTTCACTTTCCCAGTACACTGGAAGCTTTGCAGAAAGTTGCAGCTTTCAAAACACCAACAGTCCAGCACTGTCACGCAGACCTTCCTGTCATGATACCTTCAACCTGGTCATGGAATCTCTGCAGACCAACCAGCCTCATCTTGGTTCAGAGAGGTGGGAGGAAAACAGCATCCATTCAAGTTGACATCTTTGGCTTGCAGGAAGGAAGGATGAAATGGAAGGTGGTTATTGTTTAGAAGGAGAGGCCCCTTCCATAAGAACATGAGGAATCTGGCTCTCTGGTGTCCTTTCTCTCCTTGGGAGAGTCTGCAGCCCACTAGGACCTGCTTCAGGCTCACTAGGTCTCAATCTTTTCGGGACTAAAAGCTGGTCTAAGGCTGTCTGTTTCTGTCTTTTCTTTAACACTGTTCTGTAGTATGACATGCCATTGTCATTAAGCAAGTGAATGCAATGATTGGCTTTTTCTCTGTCTGAGTGGGTCTTCTCTACAAATATTTGTAGCTTTGTCCATTTTTTTAGGATTTCCTTTATTTCAGAGGAAGAACCTTGCTGCACTGATTGTTGATATTCTCCTTCCTCTTCAGAAAGCTCCTCAGCTGCAATTTTCTGAAGTTCCTCCATAGACAATCCCTCTGAGTGTTCCTCCACCAGTTCCTTAACATCACCACTGTCTACCTGTGAGCCTGTAGACTCTGCTATAGCAGCCCTTTTATCAGCACTGGCTGCTTCGCCATGCGTAGTCACACTAAGAACCCCAGTTCTCACTTTAAAATTGTGAAACCAGCCCCTACTGGCACAAAATGTTTCACCATTATCACGCATTGATGGATTGTCCTTTACAAGATCTGCATTCATCACCCTAGCTTTTTCACAGATGACAGACTGAGATAGGATGTAACCTGTCGTCTGCCTTTCATTTATCCACTCTAGTAACAGCCTTTCTACCTGCTCTAGTACTGTCGATCGAGACTTACTAATTTGAGTAACACCTTTAGCCACACTAGCTTCCTTATACAGATCTTTTCTCTGTAAGACTGTCGAGATGGTGGATTTCGACATGCTGTACATATTAGCCAGATCGGTAACACGCACACCACTCTCATATTTCTCCACAATTTCTTTCTTCTTTTCAATTGTGATTGCTTTCTTGACCTTCCCTTCCTTCCTTAGCTTCCTTTCTAGCTTTTTGGGGGCCATTCTGATAGCAGTAATCAAAGCGATTATATAAAGCACTGACTGAAATCATGCCCACAAACACCACATCTTGACTCAGACTGGCTCTGGCATCGAGTCTTTGTTTACAACTAGACAAGCAGCTGGCACTCAGGTCGAAACTCACGATGTTGGTCATTAAGCTACAATTAAATTCTGGTGGTAACCCAAGTTGTTTGTGTATAAGGCCGGTCGTAACTCGAGGGGCCACTGTGAGTAGAGCCAGGCCCTGTGGCACATGCCTGTAATCCCAGCACTTGGGAAGCTAAGGCAGGAAGACTACCTTGAGTTCAAAGCAGCCCCGGACTAAATCAGGATCCTGAGGCAGCGGCTGCAGCGGTGACGCCCCATTCCTGAGTGCAGCCTGGGCCCCAGGCAGCGTTTTTTGTCTGCTGTTGCAAAGAGAAAGGCGGAGGCTGAGTGTGCCTCTTTATTCGGTTTTGTTTGTTTGTTTATTTTGCACTGGGGCTGGAACCCTGGGGTTCACACATGCTAGGCAAGTGATCTACCAGTCAGCTACACTCCCAACCCAAGAAATACATTCTTTAGTTTTTCATAACTCCAGCTCTTTTAGGCTGCTATTGTCCTTAAAACCAAGATGTGTCCTCAATTTGAGCCTCAGTGCAGTAATGACCACCACATCCTGCAGGACAGAGCTAGGGGAAGTCGTTCTAGAGGCGAAAAAGAAGTACACATGAGATCTCCTGTGAGGAGGAGGCTCCCATGACCAGCCAGACTTAAAATACTACAGTTCCGCAATCAGTAAAGGACAAATGGGGACACAAAGTGGTTCTCAACCTTGTACACACATGGGAGTCATCTTCGGAAGGTCAAAACACCCCCGACTGGTTCCACTTCCAGAGACCTGGACTTAATTTTTCAGGAGTGATCCTATAGCACAGCCAGAGTTGAGACCATGGGTCTGTGGAATCAGTAACAGAATCAAAATGGTGAGCCCAGATATAGTCAGAAGAGCTTAAATACTAGGAGAAAGATGCACCCTCTAGGAATCAAGCAGGGTAACCACAGCACAATCAAATAACATATCACTCAGGAAGGTGAAGATGGATATTTAGGACTGGAGAGCTGCCCTGGCCTCTGTGCTACAAATGTGGGCGTATTGCATGTTACTGCTGACTTCTGTCGAGCATCTTCCCACAGGCTTATAGGCCATTTGTATGTTTTCTTTGGAGAAATACCCTTCAGGTCCATCACTCATCTTAAAATTAAGTTGTGTGTCTTTCTACTCTTGAGGTGTAAGAGTTCTTTAATATGCTTTGGATACGAATCTTTTATTTGATATAAGACTTGAAAATGTTTTCTCTATTCTGTGTGTTGTCTTTCCACTTCCTTAATGGTATCTTTTGAAGCATTTTCAATTTTGATGAAAAACAATCTAATTTTTCTTCGTTCCAGGCATGGTTTGAATAGTTTAACTATATTAAGAGGTGGAGCCTTCTGGGAGTGATGCAGATGTGAAGGTTCTACCTTCATAAATGGAACAGTAACATTATAAAAAGCATGAGTGAACTAGCTTGTTTTCTTGTTTGTTTTTTGGCCTTTCTGGAAATCTTCCATCAGATGAGGAGTCATTAACGAGGAGCCAACTATCTGAGCATGAAGTAGCACTCACCAGACTCTAATCTTGGACTTCCTCACTCCAGAACTGTAATAAATGAATTTCTATTCCATGTAAATTATCTAGTCCCTGGCTTTTTGTTATAGCAAATAGACTAAGACAGACTTGTGCTTTGGGCATGTTAAGAAACCATTGTCTGGGGCTGGGGATTTAGCTCAGTGATTCTACCACCTGCCTCACAAGCGCAAGGTCCGGAGTTTGATCCCTGGTACAAAAAAAAAAGAAAGAAAGAAACCATTGTCTGAATAAAGGCCATGAAGACTTATTCTGGTAATGTCTTCTAATAGTTTTATTTGCATCTATGATTCACTTTGAGTTAATTTCTATACATGATGTGAGAGAAGGTCCAACTTCAATCTTTTGGATATGGCTACCCAGTTGTCCCAGTGCCATTTTCCCACTTTTGTTCATTCCTTAGCATCTTTGTTGTAATTCAAGGGTTGCGTTCTGGAATCTCAATTCTATTGATTGACCTATATGACTATCTTTATGCTAGAACCATAAAGCTTTGTACATAATGTCCATTCATGAGGCTACAAATGGCAAAATCATCTTTTTAAGGCTGAGTAATATTTCAGTAAGTGTCCGTGTCACAACTTCTTTATCTGTTCATCACTCAGCGGGCACATGGGTTGTTTCAATATCTTGGCTATGGTGAATAACACTGCAGTGAACATGGGAGTGCAGATATTTTTTATGAGGTAGTGGTTTTATTTCCTTGAGTATATTTCCAGAAGAAGCATTGCTGGCTCAGTTCTATTTTCAATTTCTGCTGCACTCTCCATACTGCACTTGGTGCCCAATGGCTACACAGGCTACACTTCTACCAACAACCAACAGTTTACCCACCATGCCCTCACCAGCACTTGTATTTTTATAACACCCATCCTAAGAGGTGTGAAGTGATACTTCATTGTGGTTTTGATTTGCATTTTCCTGATTATTAGCTATGTTGAGCATCTTTTCACACACCTGTTGGCCATTTTTATCTCTTCTTTGGAAAAATGTTTGTTCAAGTCATTTACCTATTTTTGTTTTTGGTTTTTGGGGGGGTTCTTTTTTCCGGTACTGGGGATCGAACTCAGGACCTTGTACTTGCGAGCCAGGCATGGTGCCACTGAGCTAAATCCCTGTCCCCTATTTGCCCACTTTTGATTAATTTGAAAAGGTTTTAACTTTTTTGGATTTTTTTTTGTTTGCTATTGAGTTATGAGTTCTTCATATATTTTGGAGATTAATGCCTTATCTGGTGTATTTAGTTCATAAATATTTTCTCCTTCTCTGTTGGTTGTCTTCTCATTCTGCTGTTTGTTACTTTTTTTGTGCTCATTTATTCCTATTTGTTTGCATGTATATTACATGTTATGACAGGCTAGACATTGTGAGAGATATAATATTGTTTTCTTATCAAGAGGGCTAATTTTTAAATTTCTAGCGGGAAGTTCAGTTACTGGCTGATTGCTTTGAGCTTACTGGGAATTTTCTGACAAATCCAAGGTATTTCCCAAGACTCTATAATTTGCTAGGGTGCAATCTCAACTCTCTTCTTATTGATCTTTTAGGGCTCAGCCTCATTGTTTTTTCAGGTTAGTGTAGAATAAGTTTTTACTTACTGCATGGTTCTAATTCCTAAAATAATGCCATTAGAGTCTCAGCTGAGTGCCTGGAGGGTTAGGGCGTGATAACAAGGTCTTGCTGCTCTGGCTGGGATGGGCCCTCAGCATCTCCCAGAATCACGTGACCTCTAGCATCTCTTTTCTGCCCTCAGTCCTATAACAGCTCTCTCTGGAAAACCCCATATAACTCATTTTATGCATATGAAGCCTCACTCTTGCCAGAGTGAAGGATCTCTGCAGACCCCTCTGGGTGCCTTCATTGGAGACTTCCTGTCTTGTGCCCAGCCCTTCGTTTCTGGCCATTTCAGCCTCCTCAAATCTAGTTCTCTGCATTCTCAGTTCAGTGGGGTCTCCTTGCTCTACCTGGACCCCAAATTGCTGAGCCTCAGTCAATGACTGATCCTCACAGGGCTAAATTTGTGCATCTCTGTTTGCTCAGGATTAAACATCTGTGCTGGTAGTTCTTCCATGCCTAAAAATGACAGGCTCATGTGCTTTATCCAGCTCTATAACTTATGACAGAGTGCTACCCCAGTACCAGGCATTCCATCATTACTAGAAATAATCTTTTCCAGCCAGGTTTTTAATCACAAGGTCTTTTGTGAGCAAAGAGTGTCAATGATGTAGGTTATTGGCAAAGGCCAGAAAGGACAGGACTATTAATTTGAAATAGATCCTCCTACTTCAGAAAAGAATTAAACTATCTTATTATTTATTTGTAAAAAAGAAGCTAAGATCCCAGTGTTAATTCTAGTCCTAAGGGAGAGGTAGACTACGGAGAATCTGCACAAGGCCAACATTTTTCTGGAAAAGCAATGTTGTGTTTGCTCAAGAATATGAGGACTCCACATACTCACAGTTCCAGAATTCTGCACCGCAACTGCTTCCCAGCCTTTTGGCTAAGATCAAGTGCAGAATTCTGTACCACAATGCACAGAAATCTCTCCCGCTGATCTTTTCACCCTTTCAGTCTTTCATCTACCCATCACTGAGTCCTGATGATACATCAGTAAGTAGTAAGGCTCAAAGATAAGTGATGTCCAGTTCCTGTCTTTGAGCATCTCTTCCCAGCTGCAGTGTGCAAAAGTGTAAAGGGGTTGTTACATTTTTCAAGCTGAGAAAAACCTGAGGAAGGCTCTGTTCAGCAAGACTTTGAAGTATGGTCATTGGACACGGATGTTACCCCAGGGGACTAAATTACTGCACTTGCACTTAGGGTTATTCATCATTATCCACACTGGTAGTAAAGGATACTTTATAAGCTAGAGTAATGTAGAACTAGCTGATATAACAAACAGACTGAAAAATAAAACACTGCAGTGTTCTCTTCTGTAATCACCCTGGGTTGGTAAAGGACGTTGCTGGGGGATTCTTTTCCACTAGCTTTTCGAGAACCCTGCATCACAGAAGCTCTGCCGACTCCAACCATGACTTCCAAGGCAGCTTGACAGTTTCATTCCACTTATCTGAAGGAGGGAAACTGGAGAATCAGGCACAGGAGGCTTCAAGGAGCCAGACCGCGAAGCAGCAAATAACACTGTACTTCTACCACTGGCTGGAACGCAGTCTCATGACCATGACTAACTGCAAGAGAGGCTAGGAATACAGTAGACATGCATGCTCAGGAAGATAAAGAAAACATGGATTTTGATAAACAGCTAGTAGCTTCTGTGGAAAACAGTAAGTTTGGTGTGATGTATTCACATTTATTATACTGTCTTAACATCACAGATAAACACATTTCTCTGCCCAAGTAAGCACTGAGGTTTCAAGTTTCTTCATTCAGAACAGGTAGGGTATGTGGTAAATGCTTGCTAAAAGGTTCTTGAATGAACGAATGATGCTACTGTTTAGATCCTGAACAACTCCCTGCCAAAAGCTATGTGCTCAAGGCTTGGTGCCTCGCTTGTGTGTTATTAGGAAGTGGCAGAACCTCCAGAAGTGTGGCTTCGTAAAATGTCTTTAGGTCACTGGGCCACACCCTTAAAGGACATTACAAAATCCAGCCCCTTCCCCTTCCTCTCTTCTGACTCCTGGCCATAATGGGGGGCTATTTTGCTCCCCCATGTGCTGCCTCAGTCCCAAAGCAACGAGGTCTTCTAATCATGGGCTGGGACCTCCAAAATTGGGAGCCAAAATAAAACTTTTCTCATTATAAATTGGCTGTTGTTGGTATTTTGTTACAGGGACAGAAAGTGACTAATACAAATGGTGAGCTCATGGGACCACCGGTGGCCAGCAGAGTTAGCAGCTTCCTGTGGCTTCTCCTGAACTATCACGTATCTATGCTGTCAGTTTAGAGGAAGACGTTTGCTTTCCTGTCTGTTATGACAGGTGGACATGCTTCAGTTCATTTATAAACTCTATCAAATCACTTACACACAAGTCACATACATTTTATAACACTTAGCATTGGAATTTACTTGCATTATATAGACCCCACTTCCTCTGATTCCTTAAGCTGTACTATGATCAAGGCCCTAAGGTACATTTTAGAAGTTGGGAACCAAATGGAAGTTTTGCTGGTGGAAGGGCCTGCCTTTGGTTGTGGATCTCACCACATCTACAGCCAGGGCTCCGTGCCTGGCTCATGGGTTTCTAGGCACAATAGCTTCTCCTTTTTCTCCAGTACAGGTTTCTCTTGGTCCTGGGTTCATGCAAAGCCACGTGACATGCTACTTCACACTTATGAGGATGATCATAATCCAAAAGATGAATAGTAACAAGTACTACTGAGTTTGTAGAAGAGCTAGAATTCTCATAAATTGCTAGCATGAATGTAAAATGGTACGGTCACTTTGTAAAATACTCTGACATTTGAAGTTAAACAGTTACCATGCAACAGAGCAATTCTTCTCCTAGGTATATACCAGAGAGAAATAAAAACATTCACACAAAAGCCATGTGAAAGTTCACAGAGGCGTTATTCATCACAGCCAACAAGTGCAAATCCAAATGTCCATCGACTGATAAATGGCTACACAAAGCGCAAGGCAGTAGACCCTTCCAAGGGAATATTGTTCGGCCATGAGAAGGAATGAAGCAGCGATAGATGTCATAGCATACCTGAGCCTTACAGGCTTCATCCAAGGTGAAAGAGCCCACACGTAAAATGTCACACAGCATAGGCTTCCACTTGTATAAAATACCTGTAATAGGCAAAGTCACAGGTCACAAAGTAAAGCAGTGCCTGGAGACGAGAAGGAGGGAGGAAAGGTGACTGCCAATGAGTATAAAGTTGCTTTTTAAAATGCTGAAAATGTACCAAAATCAGATTGTGCTGATGATGGAACAACTCTGTGAATTACTAAACCCACTGGATTGCACACTTACAAGGTGAATTTTACAGTATGTGGATTATATATTAAGAAAGCTATTATTTTAATGGAATTTCTGGAACTGAAAATTACCAGCTACCAAGAAAATTTTCAAAACAAAGGAAACAGATACATAGAAGTGATCCAATCTAGAGAACAGAGGCCTGAAGCCTGGAAAGAGTGTGACAGAGTCTGGGGAACTGCTGATACAGTACCAAACCATCTCACATACACGACATCAGAGTTCCAAGAAAAGGAGAGCATGAAAACAGGACAAATAGCCATTGAAGAAATACTGGCTGAAGTTCAATAAAATACAGTAACTTCCAGATTCACAAAGTTCACACTCAAATTAACAGAAGAAAGAAAAAACCACACTGGATACAGCATAGCCAAGCCACTGAGAACCAAAAGTGAAAATTAAAGCTTGAAAAGTACCAGGTTAAAAGTGATCACACATGAATAAAATAATGGATAAGGTTAAAATGTGAATTAAGGCTAACTTCTTATCAAAACAATGGCAACCAACGGAGTGACTCCTGGCTTGCTGAAAGAAAAACAAAAATCCTTTCTAGTCTATCAATGTATATCCAAGGAAAATATCTTTTGAAAATGATGGTGAGCCTCATGTAGTGGCACAAACCTATAATCCCAGCTACTCAAGAGGCCGAAGCAGGAAGATCGAAGTTTGAGGCTAACCTGGGCAACATAGCAAGGCCTTGTCTCTAAAATCATTTTTTAAAAAGATCTTTTAAAAAGTGCTGGTGATATAGTCCAGTGTGAAGGCCCTGGCTTCAAACATCAGCATCACAAAAAAATAAATTCATGAATGAATGCAATAAGATTTTGAAAAGATGGGCTGGGAACGTAACTCAGTGGTAGAGCACTTGCTTAATGTGCACCAGGCCCTAGTTTCAATACCTGTTACCACCAGAAAAAAAGGTGCGATGTAGATGTATTTCATTAAAACACAAGTTGGCAGAAATTCTCACCAGCAGAACTGCACCTAAGGAAATTCTAAAGGACATTGTTCCCACCAAAGGGAAATGGAAACAGAGGGAAACTTCGATGGACAGTTCCTGGTGGAAGTTTCATGACCAGAAGACTCAGAGCTGTGGGTCCAGATGGACACCGAATGGCATTTTCCATACCCCATGAGCCACTTCTTTTCCAATTAGTTGGTTATGGTATGAATCTAATGGCTTGCAAGTAGCATTTTTTTTAAAAAAATGTAACAGAGCAGAATGGACCAAAAAAGATAAAACAGAAATCTCTCTTTTAAAAATAAGAAACAAATAATAAATACCCATAGATAAAACTCTTTAAAATCCTATTAATAAACCCTACACCTCATTGAGTTGAGCAAAGCCATTTAAATATCACTAGAGCATCCTTCTTAAAGTTTTCAGTGATTAGTCTCTTTCCAAAACTAGACAATGACAGTGTCACTTATTATTTCTTTTCTGGCTTGGCTGTCAGAAGTTCATAAATAAGTTGCTGCTCAATTACAATAACTATTGTTGCTGTAGGCTCTGTGGTGTAATATGTTCCCAAGCCTGCTTGGCTCAATCCCACTGAGAAAACCAATCACAATGATTACAGGTTGGAAACAGAGTCAAGGGCTGGGCCGACCTTGAATGTGACTACAGCATTTAACTAATAGCCCTGCAAATGAACATCTCCCTTAAGGCCTCCGGTCCACCCACACACCCCACTCACAGTTACCGACATCTCTGCTTCCTATAAACACGACAAAGGCAGCGAGGTGAGTTGGTAGGAAAAGGATGGGGTCTGGGGTCAGAGCTGAGTCTGAATCCAGCTTCATCCTTCAGTAACAATTCAGTGGCTACTACATCGCAGCAGACGTGTTCCTTGGTCTGTTGGACTGGTTTCTCATCTATGAAATGTGCTTAATCCTGACCCCAACAGTCACCGTGAGGCAAAGCAGCTAGCAGCGCCTGGTACTTAGTGGACCTTGATCAAGAACACGCTTTTCTTCCCCTCTGAATGCAAAGTCATGAGGCCCAAGCCACAAAGCCAAGTGTGGCCTGACTCACGCTCAGCACTCTCCCTCTTGACCCCTGTGGCCCGGCTTCCCTGCTGCCCCTCGGACAGCCCACGTGCGTGCACCCCTAGAGTCCTCCACTACCGCTTCCTCTGCTGTACCATCCTCCAGACATACACAGGGCTTATTCTTTCATCCAGTGCAGTCTCCGTCTCCATTCAAGTTTAGAGCATGCGCTGCTGCAACCAGCACACTGTCCAGACTGCCCTCCTTACAGGACTTCCCCAGCAATCCGATCACAGAGAATGGGATTCTGTACTGGACTAGAAGCCAGAACCCGTGTCTAGCAGTCTGTCTTCGTGTGCTCTAGGGCAGTCACGCCAAGGGTAGGACCAGCTTCTCAGCCACAGGATAGATAGGTTTCCAGAAGACCAAGCCTTATGTTTGAAGGGATAGCCATGCTCTACTTCAGCCCCAATGCCTCTTGCCCTGTAACCTTAGCCAGCAATGGAAGGCAGAGAAAAGGTACACACAGAAACTGGACTACAAGCTACTTGGAACCACCCCACCCTCACACTCTCTACAATTGAGACAACAGAATGGCCCCAAGGCACACGGGGCTGACTCAGGGAGCAGCAGTTGCGGCTGTGAAGGACCTTAAGAGGGCCATGGCTCCCCAAGCATATCACAGTGCCCCCCGGACAGAGCCCCACCTTGTCTGAGACCCTCCTGGCCCTGCCACTTGCCTCTGGCCTGCTCACAAAGCAGCAGCTCTATGATTGATACCTACCTTCCAGTCCCTTCTGCTTGTTGTCCAGGCCAAAGAAGCAGGCACCATGCACTTCCCGCCTCCTTCCAGATCTACCCAACAGGACCTGCCACCATAGAGGCCAACCCTGCCCAGATGCAGCAGAGTAACATCTTTCTCCCCAAGCTCCACCTCCACCTGCTTCTCCACTAAGAGCCGCCCCCTTGGCAAGGGCAGGCCTGTCTCCTGTGCCCCAGGTAAAACAACTGATGTCAGCGCCCCTTGGTGACAGGACTGAGGGGCCTGGGAGGTCACTTCGGGGATGCTGTCCTCAGCAGACTACTACTGCATTAGCTCTGGCTGGCTGTTTGCTCATCTTCTGATATGTGCATCCCAAGGCCTTCTCCCAAGAAGAGGCAAAATAACTGAGGCCAGAATCAGTAACCGACCACTGAGAAGCTGCTGCACCCATTCTCTGCTACTGCCCCCGTCCTGGATTAATAAGAAGAAGAGCAACATGAGGCCCGGGATTGCTCGGTCTCACATTCATCTCGTCCAGTTCACTTAGGGTCACCACCCAGGGCAGGAGTTGGAACGCAGCTCCTTCACCCTGTTGCAGCTCGCTGGCTGTGGGGGCCGGGCCCTCGGGGACACTCACCGCACAGCCTGGGGGTGGCCATGGAGCGGGCTCCGGGACAGGAGGCAGACCCAGGCACCAGACCCGGGCACCCGACAGGCCCAGCTTCTGGGCAGGCTTATCTGCTGTGCGGCTAATTCCATCGCGGCTCAGCCCAGCCGAGCTGCCCGCCCCTGCCTGCCGTCTCCTCCCTCCACCCTCCCAGGCCGGCCACCTCGGCGCTCGCTCCGAGCCCTCACCTTCCCACGGTGCCCCGGGCGTACATTACTGAGCCAGCGTCCAGCAGGGAGTGCAGGGCTGAGGCCTTCGATCTCAGGGAAGCTGGGGCCACGCAGGGTGAAGGCTGCCTGCCACCTCTCCTCTCTCTCCTCTCTCCTCTTGGCGGGCACCTCCCAACCTGGTTCACTTGTGAAAATTCAGCCAGATTATCTCATGAACCGTCTGGCTGATTAGTTTCCAATCCTGCCAACAAAGCCTTCTTCCAGGGCCCCCAAAGGGTCACCTGGTGTCCAAGAGATAGCCCTGGGCGAGAACAAGGGCTGCGCCCCAGGCAGTGGGTCCTATTCGCCTACCTTCACTCTGCCTGGCCACGACCCTTCTAGAGCACAGCCAGGAGCCAGGAGGAGGAGGAGAGCTAGGATGGGCTGAGGAGAGTCCACAGGGAGATGAGGGACATTCCTTCCCCAGAGGACAGGAGGAGGGCCATGCTCCTGCGATGGCCTAGAGACAGGACTAGGGACATGCCACTGGCAGAGCGGGGAGAGTAGAGGCCCAAACAGGCAGCCAAAGAGGGTTGTGTCCCAGACCAGGGCTCCGTCCACTAGCTCCAAGTCATAACGGCTGATGTGCAGGATTTCATCTTCAGGCACTTTGCTCGATGTCCCCCTAGACTAGCTGTTTCGATCCTGATAACTCTGAGCTAATCACTACAGTGTGCCCCTTTCACAGACTAAAGTGTCAAAGATGAAGCCACCTCCCCAGAGGGCTGTCTGAGACGCTCCCGTGTCTGTGGTCACAATACCACGCTGCTGCTCAGCTTCTCTCTCCTTAGCAATGCCTTTCTCTCTGCTTACTTCCATGGATCCTTCCCCATGTCTCTTCAATCCCAAAAGGATTAGGGAATTTCACACTGTTGCTCCTTCATTCATTCCCTCCTCTCTCCGCCAGTCACCGCAGACCTTTTCCGTGGGACTCCCCTGAACACTCACTTTTGGGGACCCTGTCTCATGTGGGATACGGGTGAGCATAACAGAGGGTCCCTGAACCAGGGGCAGACCCTGCTCTCCGAATACCTGTAAATAAAGGAAAACACTTTCACACACACACACACACACACACACACACGTGCATGCGCTACCTCCACCTGCTGCTCCTTCTGCACCTTCTCATCCAGCGCCCACCCATTTTGTTTTTAATCAAAGTATGCAGTTTTCCTGATCCAGCTTTGTCCTTCAGTGTGAAAGGTCTGTCGGTAGCTACGAGGAGAGCTGCAGGCCATCAAAGCCTTGGAAAAAGCGACAACTGTGATGGAAAGGCAACCTCCCAGCCAAGCCTCTCTGTGGCTGATGCCTCTAATAACCCTGTCCCCAGGTGGAGTGTCAGGCGATCAGTCAGCAGAGTGACAGCCAATTCCCTGCCCCTGGATCTGGTTTCCCTCAGGGAGACCTCCAAGTTGGGAAGGGGGTGGGGTGGTTGAAGAGATGCCAACCTGTGAATTATTGAGTAGTTATATAAAACTTCTATCTATTCTTCCTTCCCTCTGACCCATGAACTCCCCTCCAAGCCTCCTCAACACAATCTATGCCGTTTCCCAGTAGCATAGCTTCTTCCAGCTTAGTCCCAGGCAGTAACAGAAGTGGCAGAAACCTAAAGACTCTGTAGTTACTGGTTCCATGATAGCAAGGAGAGAATCTGGAAGCAACAGGGATCGTGTGGCTCTGGCAGGGTGACTCAGAGGTTCTGGTCTAGACGTCAAGGCACTTGAATTCTGCACCTGACCCTGCCACTCTGAAGCTGTGTGACCTTTGGCAAGTCACTTGAGGTCTGAGGTCCATCCATCAGCTGTCCAGGCGGCAGAGGAAAGCAGATTGGATGGTGTCTACACCCTTCCCAGCTCTTCCTCTGTACTTCCAGTGGGCTGAGTCTCTCCTATGTTAAAAGGATTTGGAATGAAAGTCATTCTCCATCAGAGTCCTGCAGTATGTCTAGGATGGCCCCTTCATTCTCGCAGAGTTCCTTCCCCAAGGAGATATGGTGTACATGTAAACTTTTTCATATATTTTCAGGGAAGACAATCTCTAGCCAAGGTTGAAAGCATAGATCGATGATTCAGGAACAAGGCAACACTGTATTATCTACACCTCTCTCCACTGAAGGAGAGGAGCAGGGCCTTGATATCTAGCATAAGGCCCCAAAAAATATGGCATCAAGCCCCCTCCCCCCAAAACCAGCATTTTCAGCCTTCAGAATGCAGGAAATACCTAATGCACAGCCACTGACTCAGAGTCACATATTCCTGCCTTTCAGGCTTGCTTGCCCCTTTTTTATTCCGGTTATTTCTTACATTACAACAATGTACAACTACCGAAGGACTTTCAGGCAATAATTTTAAGCAGACGTTATTTGTATTCAGAACCCAGGAGTCAAACAACCATTCCTGTTTTCCAGACCAGGTAACCGAGTCTGCGCCCACTATGCGGTGGAAGCAGTTGAGCCAGGCCGGGTGGAGTCCCACGTGCAGGTGCCCGGCCCTCACACCGCTCAGAGCAGCAACTCTGTCAGACGACCTTACCTGAGTGGCAGGTGCCTGGCTGGAGGGCCTCCCCTCCACTGTCCGCAGAGCTCCTCCAGTGGGACACCGCGGAACTCAGGGTCCCTCAGCAGCTCCCTGCCACTGCAGGCCACCAGGCTGAGCTTCTGGGGCAGCCCGTCCTCCGCACCCTCCCGCCTGCACCCACACTCCTGCCCCCCACTCTGCCCCACGCCTTCCCCTCCCCCACACCCTCTTCCTCTTTCAGCTCTGCCCCTTCCCTTATGCCCTTCTACCCTCCCGGGACATCTCCCAGCTCACAGTGAGGGACCCTCTAGAGATCACAGACAAGGCCTGTGGCTTCTCCCTCAGAATCAGTCTAGGGACTCAGCCCTCGCCTACAACAGCTGCCGCCAGCTTCGAGACACCACCAGCCTTTCGCAGGCAAGACACTAGCCTTTATTGTGGGGACGAGGAGCAGGGTATGTGAAGTCCAAGCAGCATCGGGTGTGCTGGGCCTCATGGGCCGCACTTCCGGGGGCTGCACCGGCACTGCATAGCATTGAGGACCTGGTGGCGCACCACCGAGCCATTGGTGCAGAGCAGGGACACCCACATGGGCTCCGTACGGGCAGGCGAGCAGCAGGAGCACTGGTCCTCCACGGCCTCGATGTCGATGGAGTACACAGCTTTGCTGGCGCATTTACCCTGCAGTCAGCGCAGAGAGGCGGGGCATGGCCAGGCTGGGGGAGCGCCCTGTGTGGTCCCTGCCGGCCCCCAGAGACAGCCAGGACAGCCAGGCAGCTCCTACAGGAGAGCCCGGGTCCCCTCTGGCCTGTCATTCCCACACCCGCTCCCCACACCCGCTCCCCGCGGGGGCTGATCTTCAGGAAATGGAGCCCCGCCTCCCACAGACGAGTCTCCATTCTCTCGAAAGGGCTTATTTGGTCTTTCCTCGGGGGTTCAAAGTTCCGAGTTCCTTAGTAAAACATTTCTTTTTAACACTGCTTCCCTCCCTGGAAGTCACTGCCTTGTGACTTCTCCAGGTCATTCTCGGGTGTCATTAAAGTGTCATGTCCGACCCTTCCCGCTGAGGGCCAGGTGAGGGTAGCAGCCTTACCTCACAGTAGTGAATGTCGACCTCCTCCTGGGACCTACAGTCTCCCACTTTGACATGCTGCAGCCTGGCAGTGATGTCTTTGCAGTCGGGCCCCTCACCTACCAGACAAGGGGAAGACAGAGTCTGGGGGCCCAGTGTTCTGTACAGCACTGTTCGGGCCTGTGCCCGCACTGAGAGCAAAGCCAGCTGCAGGCAGGGGAAGGGAGCTGTCCTGGTTCACCTCAGCTGTCCTGGCCCTCCTGATTCAGGGATCCGGTTATTGCTGAGTTTAACCCCCTGACCAGGGGCAGCCTCAGGTATAAAAGGAGCTGCGATGCACTGCACTTTGGTGAGCTAGATGGATACGAGTTACTTTTACATGACTGTAGCCTCCAGAAGGCACAATGGCTGGAACCGGCCTCTCGTCCTGTAACTACATGCAGAAGTCAATGGACAGTGGAGCAGCCAGTAAGCAGAATGATGTTAACTGATGCATTCATCTTAATCCATCTCTGCCTCTGGGTAAGAGCAAAGGCAAAGGTCGCTGCCTCTGAGGGGCCAAGGAAATCCTAGCAGCCTTCACAGGCAGAGTTCTCCCTGGGGTACAGCTGCCTTCGTGGTGCCAACACGGGCTTCCTTACATGCAGGGGTGGTGCTCAAACCTGATGTTCTCTTGGCTCTGTAATGCTGACTCCCCCCCATCCCCAGCTGAACATGGGAGTTTCCCACCATGGGATGGCTCCAGGTCTAAACCAACCCCATTGACAGATTAGCCTGCCTCCACACTTCAAATAATTTCATTCTAAAGGGAAAGTCTGCCAGCTTCAATAAGAGCAAAAAGAGGGCCAAGGATTTAGCTCAGTGGTTTCGCGGCCTCCCTCGCAAGCGCAAGGACCCGAGTTCGATCTCCGGTACCAAAAAATAAAAAATAAATAAGAGCATAAAGAAGGAAAACATATTTAGACCAACATGTGATATTCTTTTGCTGTAGACGTAAATCCCTGAGCTTAGTCTGTTTTCCTTACAGAAGGTCTCAAAGCCCTGAGCATCCTATCCAACAAAGGCCCCTTGCTGCTGGTTTTATAGATAAGTCTCTTAACCAAATTCTATGCACCATGCCTGGGAAGAATTCATCTTCTCTGATGGTGTCCTGACTCCCCGTTCTTAAACCATGCAGGGGGAATTATGGAAAGAAATGCTTTCAGGGTGTCTTTTCCCAATCTGTAAGGTGGCTACACCAATTTGGGGGACTCAGAGCGAGCTATCGAGAAAAGAAGGGATGGGTGAACACTGAAGGTGTTCGTGCTTACACTCATCTTTTCTCTGCCTCAATAGAGGCGTGGGCCCCTGAATCCAAAACAAACTAAACTAAAAACAGAGAAAAGTAGTCCAGGGAAGTAATCCTATGTTACTTGTGCTTGTGAACACAAGAATGGGTAGGAACAGTACTCTCTGATGTGCATCTCCCAAACCGCTGCTGTGACTGATTAGAGCCAGTCAATGTGACAACTACAAGGTCAAGGGAGCAAGCATGAAGAAAGCGAGCTGCCAAATTGGGCTACCATTAGCCCACTGGCCATTTCCCTTTCTCTCCAAGGTTCTCCAAGACAGGATTGCATGCAACGAGTCGATGCATAGTAAGTATCTACTCTGCCAAGAGCATGGACCTAGTGTGCCTGTCTTCAGGTTGGAGAGAGAAGATATCCTCTCAGGATAGGTCTGTGGACAACCAAAGACTGTTAAGGAAAACTGGGAAGAGATGGGAGGCAGTTGAAAGAGGGTTTGAGCAGGGGCAGCCTAGTGACACTCAGAGAGGGAGGTAGTTCCCTGCCGGCTTGAACAGGACAACTGGCCAGGAACCAAGAAATATCTTTCCGGAATAAAGCTTACTCCAAAGAACAGTGCCTGGACTTGGTCTAATGAGTTCCAAGGGACAAGCTTTTACTAATGTACTCACATGTGTCACAGCAGGTGCCTGGAATTTTCATGATTTTCCCCTAAGAAAAGAGCAAAGTCTTAGATTAGGCCGAAATAGTTCATAGTGGACATAGTTTTCAAGTCATTCTGGATCCACTCCTAGCTCCGGACTCACAGCCTTGAGCTTAAGACTCCGGATGTAAAATGCGCTTTCCCATCCCCAGTGTGAGCCGACTGAGCATCCTACCTGACCCGGCGGAAACAACCGTGATTACTATGAATTCTCTTTTAACCCAGTCATCCGGACCCTTCTTCCCGGGAAACCAAAATCGCTGTTTCTCACTTTCCTATTCAAGGATCACAGATCCTCGTTCCCTCTCTGACAGACTGTTTTTGTAAATCATCCTCTACTGTACAGAATGCTTTTCCTCCATCAGGCTGTGGCTTTGCAGTGTCATCAGTTCTTAGCTAGGCCAGGTCTGCCTTGGACACTGGGAAGTCACTGGGGATCCGGACTCCGTGCATCCAGAACTCTACTCCCGGAGTCACAGGTTGAGACGGTCACGACCTAGGCGGGGTCCAGGCTGTGGTCACTCACCCCCTCAGCCAGACACCGGTGCTGATCAAAGGGCGGGCAGCCAGTGACCCTCTTCTCCCAGATGTACTCTCCCAGCTCATTGACCTTACAGAAGTGACTGTCGCAGCCGTCCTGGAGCATCTCGTCACGCTGAAGGAAAGACAGGAAGTGAGTACAGTGAATGGAAAGACAGTTTAGGCTCCAAAGCATGGCCTTGACTTCTTGGAGTTACTGAAACAATCTGGAGAAATGTGGAACAAGAATGAGATAGTGTATATAAAATCCCCACACTCAGGATACGAAATAGAAGTGGATCCCAGCTTTACAATTTACTATGAACAGGGTTGCATACATGTGGAGAAGCTTCAGATTACGGTGGCCACACAGTGCTTAAAGGAGTAGCAAACCGGCTGTAACTGATATCTGACTGAGAGACGGGCCGGGAGTACCACCTCTCAGCCCCACCAGACTGTTCTGGCTTTCATGCATCATAGTCTCTGCATCACAAGGTCTCTCAAGCTACAGAAAATCTGAGAGATTAACCAACTTCCTAGCCTGAGGCCATACACCAACTGACTCCTGTATTGCTGAGCAGCAAAACAACTGAATCAAAGCGAAAGTCATGTCTCCCACCAGTCATTTATCTTTTCTTTATAAAACTAGAAAGAAGTGGGAAGAGAAGCCAAGGTTGCTCTTTCCTGAAGACTCCAGCATGGGAGGCCCGATGGCATGGTGAGCGGGGCTCTTAGCAGTGTGGGCCCACCTTCAGTGTCACGACCCGTCCTCCTCTCAGCTGAATGGTGCACGTGGTGGGCAGACATCGCCCGCAGCACTCACCCTGGCTCTTCTCTTCTCTGTAACCCTGTGCCCAAGACAACAGACAGCAGCCGGTTAACCCCCCAGTCCCCATCATGGTAAGCTTACCTTGCTCTCTCCTCATCTCTCCTACCTCAGAGATTCACATGGAGTTCAGAAATCGCCACCCAACTCTAACAGCATTTCTTCCCTCCTTACGTATATATATATGTCATGCAGCAGTCCAACCTACTATAACTCTGCCCTGAGCTCCTGAATCATAATTTTAATTATCTGCTGAACAATTCATTATCTTACTACCATCATGAGATTTATATACAAAATGATACTTGATTTGGGCTCCAAATATTATCCTTTTCCATTCAATCTCATCTTGGTAGCTGGTGAGATAACCTCTGTGTGCTCAAACAGGAAATCTGGAAATCATCCTGATGCCTCCATTTTTCTCTTTCCTTACCCCCAATCATCACCAAATCTTGCAAAAATGCATCTCACACTCATCCACTGCTTGTCACAAGCATATCCTGTATCGTCATCTAGTCTAAGCAGTTAGGACTCGGGTGATAGTCTTACTTTGTTTTCCTACTTTCATTCTTGCCCCTTTACTATATGTCACCAGACACCTGCTAGAATGACACTCTAAGATATATGTAGTCACATCATTCTTCTGCTGAGCGCTGCTGACCCGGCTGTGGCTGACAGTGGGTGTGAGCCCTGCCTGCCCCCATCCCTGGAGAGGGACTCTGCTCTTTCACAGGCACTGGATCTGTTCAGGAGGGAGCCGCCTCTCGCCTGCAACACCACACTCCCAGCTGCCACAGAGTTCCCTTGCTTAGCCAGTTCCGTGACCTGACCTGCCCCCCCCCCAGGCCCTGAAAGAGCTACCTTGCCCTCTCACGAGGGCCCTGGCCATGCCCTCAGCAGACTACCCGACTGGACACCATCTGCTGCAGCTCCCCAGGGCTCGAAAAGCCTTCCAGGCAGAGGAGCAGTGAGACCAGGGTGGGCACTGAACTAGACCTGGGCCAACCAAGGCAGGGTTCGGCAAGGCCTGAGGGGTGCACAGAGAGAGGCTACTCTAGAGATCCTCAAGAGGGAGGAAGGACACGTGGCCTTGGAACACACTGGAATTTTGGAGGAAAATAGGAAGAATCCACACCATAAGAAAAGGCCATGGGTTTTTAAACATTTTGAAACCTACATCTAGACTGATTCTAAAGCTGGGCGCCTCTGGAGCCCCAGGAAGGGACCATGCCACCTGTGAACACCAGAGGGCGCTGTGGAGAAGGGGGTGACAGGCGCCCTTCCGGAAGCTGGCTACAGCCTCCTCAGGCTTAGGAGGGCGCTTCGGTGGACTGTTTACTGTGTCTGTCCCTGCTTAATCGTAGTGGACAACCGAAGTGGAAGGGATGACATGCAATTCCAGACAGGGTTACTTCATTCCATATCGAAGCCCAGATGTATCTGGGTGTGGTTTTCCACACACACCCACGCACACACGCGCAAGCATGCACTCACCAAGCCTCAAATCCTAAAACAGCAACTGGGATTTTGAAGAGAAAAAGAAGGAAACGTGCTTAATTGGCTCCTTTCTCTGAACCACGCTATCAGAAACAGCTGATCCTCCTGCAGATACCTTTGATTACCTCGAGCTTGACCTTTGCATGTGCCATGGAGAACACGGACACACAACACTTGTCTCTTGTCCTCCGAAGGGTAGGTAGCACCCGTGTGACCACCTAGCCTCTACCCTGCTCCTCCTTCTGTCCTTGTCCCTTCTCCCCCTGGCCACTCAGCCTGTAAGTCTCCTTTGAGCTGAGCATGGTGCACACACCTGTAATCCCAGCACTGGGGAGACTGAGGCAGGAGAATCGCTGTGAGTTCAAGGTCACCCTGAACTACAAAGCGAGCCCCTATCTCCAAAAACAATAGATAAATAAAAATAAAACGGTGACATCGCTTGGTACCCTATAAATATGTACAATTTTATGTGCCAATACAATTATTTTTAAGTTAAAAAATAAACAAAACCAAAATACAATTTGAAAAGAAGTGAAACACAAATTTTCACCTACCAAACTAGAAGTGCTGGGTCTCACCTGGAGGGGCATTTGAACATGCAAAGTCATCATGACTCGGCAAAAAACACAAGAAATATTTTAAACCACTTAATCCAATAATCGAAGGCTGGCCTTCATGCCAGGAGACACCCATCCAAAGCAATGTTTGTGCATCACTATTGTCTGAGACGAACTGGACTAATTTTTAATGTTTTCAAAGGACGGTAGTGATGTTTCTTTCAGTGTGTTTGAAAAGATAAAACACTATAAACATAGCATCATAAGCCTTGCAAGTATTGTAAGAAAACACAGGAAGAAAATGTTTAAAATTTACAGTACTAAATTATAATTATTTCCCAGAGATGAGATTTGGATGGCCGACATGGTTAGTCTCCTATTGACAGCTGTCGGCTGGTTTTCATGATTAGAAAATAAGGCACGATGCATTTAAAGACCCCTGTGAGGTCAATCGCTTGGTCCCACCCCACCATGTCCCTTACCTGTGGGCAGGCCTGGCAGGTGGTCTTCCTGCACTCCAGTTTGAATCCAGAGACAGCGCCGCCCTGCACAGTGCAGTGGCAGGTGGTGCATTCGTCCACCAGCACGCTCTTCCCGGGCTGCAAGCAGAGGCTCTGCTCAGGCTCCTCGCCGTGCCTAGATGCGGACCTCTGCCCACCTGAGCCATCTCCCACTTGCCCACGGGAGTGGTCCTCCTCCCAGGTCTGGTGGCCATTCCCTGCCCACCCACCTCCAGTATGGACATGGAAGGAGGGAGGCCTTCGTGTCACCCAGGGACAGAATGCGGCACAGCAGGCCCAGCCCTGGGGTTGGGAACAGCACTGCTTGGCTCGGGATGCCCAGAAGCCCAACAGGCAGTGGGAAGTGCAGCGGGAGGAGGCCTCCCCGCTCCTCTCAGGCTCATTGTTCCATGTGGAACCACAGGGCCCACCCTCCCGACTGCCATCCAGCTCACCCCGATGACAGTGCCGTTGACCAAACAGGCCTCCACGGGCTCTGCGGGGAGAGAACCAGGCGGGGCTGTGGACTCAGCTCCCAGACCAAGCTCGGGGCTGCCCCAGAACTTTCTCCCATCTCCATCAGCCCTTCCTTCTACTGCGCCCCACCCCTGGGTGCAGTGGGTCCTCCAGAGAGGGACTCGGGCCTGCCTGACCCCTGGCCACTCAGCCAGGGCCAGAAGAGTGGCTCCATCTCCAGGGGGTGGTGCTTGTTTATCGGAATTTAACTTAAGGAATGGGTGAGTTTCTGAAAGAATGAAATTGTGCTCTTGGAACTTTCAGTCCCAAAAGAAACTCCCACAGGGCACGCAGAGCAGAGCTGGTTTCTGGTGGTCTTGCTGGATGGCGTCTGTCTGCGGGTAGGGTTGGGGGTGGCGGATGGGAACATCCTCCTGCACTGTGCAACACAGAGTGGTAGAAAAGCCGGTCTCCAGAGTCAGGGACACCCTGGGCAGAATCCTAGTCCTCCACCCGAGAAGGCGAGAGACAGCAGCAAAACCATCAAATCATCAGCACAGAGCTGGGCCCCTTAGGGAAACTGTTCTATTTCTCTCCTTATCTGCTCGCTCACACATGCATGAGAAACAAATGGAAAGATCCCAATCCTGCGAAGAGTTCAGGAGCCAGAAGAGGAAGGAGAAGCCGGAGGTGGGTTCAGGCCCCGCCCCAGGGGTCTCACCGCAGTGGCAGCTGGGACAGCACTCCGAGGTCCTGCAGCTCAGCTGGAAGCCCACGGGGCAGGTGGGCACGTCCAGCTGGGGGCAGGAGACATTCCTCTGCTGCACAAAGACCTCATCCTTCACTTGGACGCACTCGTTGATGAGGCAGGGGTCCTCTGGGGAGGCCCAGCGGGAGCCGACCTGCAGAGCACAGGGACCAAAGGCCCAGACAAGGGTGGGACCAGAGCCCAAGGCAGCATGCTGCTCTCAGGGAGCTGCGCGGGCCCTGGGGTGAACCCCGGCCCAGCACTCCAGTCCCATCCCGAATCAGGGTCAAAGTCAGCCTGAGCAAGACCCCAGCTCAGAGCCATGGACCCACCTCCTGTGCCACCATCTCCAGCCAGCTGAGCGTGCAACTAGGGAAGCTGGGGCACAAGCCCCAACCCCAGCAGGGGCCCTGGGCTGAGCTCAGTCTCAAGCAGCAGTGTGGCCCAGCAGAGAGGGGGTGCAGAGTAGGCGCAACCGTTCCCCCCCCTCCAGGGTAGTCCCCACCTGTGTGGGGAAGTGGGGCCAGCCAGGGCCGGGAGTGCTGGTCCTAGACCCTGGGGCTCTCCAGCCTGTCACTGGAGCGACGGGCTTGCACAGGGTGTCCTCCTCTGGAAGCCCAGTGGCATGGCAGAGAACTAAAGGGCCCAGGACCGTGGGCTTGGAAGACCTGTTATAGCTGGGCCACCCTTGCAGCCAGCTGGACACATCAACAGCTGCCACCGCCCTGCTTGGCCCCTGACCTACCTCTCTTGATTCCTGGTTCCAGATGAGAAGCAGAAGATGCCACGACTCTGTGAGCATTCTCTCTGCCTTCCCCTCCAACTCACTATGACCAAACCTCCCTGCTGCAGGCCACTGCTGAGCGCCGACCATGGGGCCCATCACTCAGACCCCTTCCCAGTGCCCTGCCATCCCTGATGGGTCCCCACAGCGGAGCCCCTGCCAACACCCAAGTCCTGCTGGTCAGATGGAGATGGGAGGTGGAGGAGCGAGGCTCGGGCAGCCCTGTGTCTGACCAGCAACAGCATAGGCAGGAATGCTGCCCCTCACCAGAACCGAACAGGCTCTGGTCCAACCTGGCCTCTGGCTCGGGCTCAGGGGGACAAAATCTGCCTCAGGTCCAGATGGACAGGAAGCTCACAACTAAATGGGTGGGAAGTGGGAACATAAGGATGGGAAATAAACAGGCAACTTGGATTCCAGTAGGGGAGATGGAGGCAGGAAAAATGCGTGGATCATTCAGTCATCGCCGTGGAGGGAAAGCCGGGGCTGGACAGAAGACCGCCTGCCCGTTCACCCTAAGACTTCCTGTCTACAAGGCAAAGTCCACTTGGTCTGACTGAAGGAGACAGAGCCCTAGCACCGCCACCCCCCTGTCACCGAGGCTCCCAGGACCCAGCACTCTTCCCTTCTGGTCACAGAACTGCCCTCGCTTAGCCAGGCCCGGGGACTGAAATTCCCGAGGAGAGACTCTTCCATGTTTAGGAATGGCCTCATAAGCATCCAGAGTCAAAGCGAGCACCCATGGCCACAGCAGAGGCAGCTGAAAAGCTGCATCAGAAGAACGAATTTGGCTGGGATGGGGCCAGACAGGAGGGGACAAGTATCAGAAGGTGGGGAGCCGGCAACATGCAGGACACTGGAGCTGGACCTGCCCAGGTTCCTGAGGGACTTCAAGAACAGAACTGCTGCTTGCTTCTCTGGGTTATGCATTCTCCACCCCCCTAAAACCATCAGGGTGGCATCGGTAGAAATCAGTGCCGAGGTCCGAGGCCCGGGCTGACGTGGCACAGAGCAGTGCTTGCAGCCGGCGGAGCTCTGGAGAGGTGCCCGGTCCACAGCGCAGGCAGCAGGGGAACACGGGACCTCAGATTCCAGGGTGAACAGGAGACCATAGGTCTCAGGGAGGGGACAGGGATTCTCACAAACCCCACCAAACCGGAAGGCCGCACAGCCTGAAATAGTTCTAGGGGTACAGCAATCCCAGCTAGAACCTGACCAACACCAACAGCCTGACCAAACCCCGAGAGGAAGCCAAAGGCAGGGAGTGAAAAGGACGCAAAACAAACACTGGACCACAGAGCGGATTCCAGCCAGGCAAGTCCCTGTCCTCCCCACCCTCCGGCCCCAGACCTACACTCTTCCAGAGAGACCCTACGTCGCCTACATCGCCCCTTGGCGACCCGAGCTGCAGCTCGCAGGCGGACGGCAGGCACCTTCCGCAGCACTCGCCTTCATGGAGGACATAGGTAAAGCCCTGGGAAACAGAAGAAAACAGAGTAAGGTGGGAACAGCTAAGACCCCGGTGTGCCCATCTGCCCTTCGCGCATGGAGCCCTGGGGAGGCTGAGCTGGTCAGGCTGGCGGGTTCGTCTGTTGGACGCTGGCCTCAGAGCCATGCCAAGAAGGGGTCCAGGAACCTCAGCCACTGGGTCACCATGCTGGTCTCCTCCACCTGAAGAGACGAACCCTACCCTCTGCAGGTTGTGTCTAAAGACCAAGTTCCAGGCCCTGAGGGTACTGAAGAGGTCCAGGGTTTGCTTGCAGCAGCTGAGTCTCAGACCTGTGCCCTCACTGATTTGCAGTGCCTGAGGTCTCCTCTCTGCTCCAACGGGGCTGACCCAATACCAGATAAGTGCCTGAGCCAGCACCTCTCACCCTGGTTACGGCTGGGACCTTAAACGTCCCCAAGGCGCACATGTGAACAGCTTGGTCATCTGCCTGTGGTTCCACCTGGAGGTGGCAGAAGGTTTAAGAGGCGAGTCCTAGAGAAAGGACGTTAGGTCACTGGAGCTATGGCCTGGAAGGGGATGTGGAGACTCCAGCCCCTTTATCTCTCTTTCTCTCTCTCTCTCTCTCTCTCTCTCTCTCTCTCTCTCTCTCTCTCTCTCTCTCTCTCTCTCTCCCCCGTTCCCAGCTGCCATGAGGAAAAGTGCTTGGTTCCACTACATGGCCCCTGTCCCATTATAGGACCAAAAGCAACAGGGCCAACAGACCATGGACAGAAACCTCTAAAACCATGAGCCTAAATAAACCTTTCCTCCCTTTAACCTTATTCTCTCAGGTGTTTTGTCACACAGCAGGAGGCTAACGCACTGCTCTGGTGGGGGGGGGGGCAGGCTTCCCCTGCAAGTTTCTTGCCAGCTGCCCAGCAGTGCAGGGGGTGCAGCACTCTTTACAAAGGAAAACTGAGACAAGTGAAGAACAGAGAGCCCGGGAGGGACCCTTGCATCCTGGACTTGGTCAGCCCATCTTGCTCTTGAATCTGGCCCTCCAATCTGGTCAAAGCCTTAGAAACTTGGATTGAAAAGCCACGTACAAAGACTCAAGAGTGACGAAAGACAATGACAGTGCAGTTGTCCCAGCAGCCAAGGGGCAAAGAACCCAGGCGAGGGCTTCGACTCGGAGCGGCATCCTGAGGCTGTTCAGGGTGGCAGTGTGCATGCCAAGCCTGCAGGCCTCCCGAGCTCACTCCCAAGCAGGGCCACATCAGGAGAGGCACACAACACTGCCTCCCCCGGGACAGCACAGCACTCCGGAGACTGAGCTCAGGTTCACAGTGTCTCCGTGGGACCTATTGACAGCTCTACCCGCGTCACGGCAGTGCGCAGTCAGCCATCCCCAGCTTCCCTCAACTGAGATTCCAGTCAATTACCATGCACCAGTGAGGCTCTAGGTACCAAGGAGGTGCCGACCAACCAAGACGCCGCAGTCTGCCTTCCCTCCGCTCCACACTGAGGCGGACGTATGGGTGCCGTGCAGGTCTCAGAGTCTGCAGGGACCCCGGAGAAGGCACTAAAACCTGTAGAGCCTCCATGTGTAACCCTCCGCACAGGCGCTGATGTGTGCACTCCTTCTGTCTTCCGGGGCACGGTGTCAATATCCAGACCGAACACCGTGATCCCAAAGACCCCATCAACTTCTCATCTCACCTGCCCCTGCCATGCCACCAAATTTAACTTCCACCATAGCCGCCCAGGGCTCACCGTATGTTCCCATCTCTCTTTCTTTCCCTTTGCTCCTCCAAACCCTCCAGCTTAGGCAAACACTTGCTGCATCGTATCATAACACACATCTCAGGTCCTTCTCCTCACTGTCTTCTCCATCCATTTTCACTGGTTTCCCAATTAAGCAGGACTAATATCCACCCAACCTGAAGATCTATGCCACTGAAAAAGAAATTCCTAATTCACTTATCAGTACACTCTCTGATGTGAGATTGCTATAGCTGACAGGGAAGTGGGAATGTGGAGCTCGGGTCACCCTTCCCTGGATCACACTGGCCCTGGCAGCCCTGGGGTGGGCCCTGGGCATGGGGTCAGCTCAGCCCAGGCAGAACTGGCGGTGCCCATGTGAACACTTACTGCATAGCCAATCAGATAAAAGTGCACCACACACAACTGTGTGCAGTGCATAATACTCGGTAACAAATGACTGCTGAAATTTTATCATTATTTTAGAGTCCGCTCTTTCTGCTTATTGAGAGAAGTGACTGTAAACAACACATTGTGTTACGGGGCAGCCGCCTCACACCTTCCCTGTTCAGTGCATACCTGACTGCATCAAGAGGCCGGGCCCAGGGACCAAACCTTATTTGGGCTCAGTTTCAGAGGTTTCAGTCCACGCGCAGCTGGCTCCTAGGCAGGAGCAGGTGACAAAGGAAATCTGTTCACCTCGTGGCAGGCAAGAAGCAGAGAGAAAGCAAGAGATACAGAGAGAGGGAGCAGTGGGAACAGGACACACCCTCCAACAGCTAGCCCGCCAGTGACCCACTTTCTCCAGCTGGGCCCTGCCTCCTGTTAACCCAGGCAGCAGCAAGTCACGGGCAGATTGATCCACAGATGGGATTTCTGCTCCAGGGATCCAGCCACCTCTCTGGGTGCCCACCTGAGAACATTACTACACTGGTGACCAAGTCCTCCACACTGAGTCTTCGGGGGCTCTAAATACTAGAAATGCCCCTTGCTTTCTTCACACCATTTTTCTGACATAAGGAGGGAGAGCTATAGAGAATCTTGTGGAAAGTGTGTTTCTTAGTGCAATCTCAGAGCCAAGAGTTCTGGACGGATTTCCCCCTCTACTTGCTCCCAGCCTCCACACCTGCTTTCCTTTTGGAGCTGTTAAAAGCAGCCACAGCCTCAGGACAGCCAGGCTCAATCAGGTGAGCCACACCCTCCCCTACTCACTGGCCGGGCAGAGCCAGGGCAGAGCCCCTTGGTCCCTGGGCTCAGCTGAGTCCACTGCTTCTCTTCTTGAGAAGTTGACCCACAAAACCCAAAGACCGACTAAGTCAGACTGCACAGGGTGAGCTCCAGGTCTGAAAAGCCGTGAAGAGTTGGAGTCAGACTCTGCACAGCTATGTGCACATGAAGCTGGTAAGAAAGCACAGCCAGTTCACAGTGGAGCTGGCCTGCAGTGTCCAGACAGAGAGAGGGCCAGGCAACAGGCACAGGACAGAGAGAAATGTCACACTACTGCACTGCCCTCCCTCATCTCCTTCTCTTCATTCCCTCTGTCTTTCCCTCAAGTCCCCTTTTTATTTTATCTACCTTGAGAGGAGGGCTCTATTCTTTGCAATCAAAACTCCCTTCTGCTACAAAACACCTTGAACACGTTTTATTTAAATGACCCCTCTTTATCTGATAACCTTACTGCCTTAACTGCCCATGGCCTGCGGAAGGCGATGGAGGCCGAGAGGCTTCAGTGAAGTCTCCCAGAAGACTCTCGAGGATTCCATGGCATCCTCTCCTCAGCGGCGCCCAGCAATTCCACTCACCCTCAGCACCAGCAATGCAGGCGCGAGAGCAGAGGGACTGAATGGCTCTGCCACCCTGACTGGACTGCCGGGACCTCCCTCCCTCTGTCACCACAATGCCCACCTCTGAAGAGCATCACCAGCCTGGCCTTCGCTGCCAACACTGGCAAAGCAACTGCAAGGTGTTCATCCCTGCCTGCCCTGGTGACTCGTTTTCCCATGACTGAGGTGAGCCAGCAGCAGAGCCTGACCCAGACCCACAGTTCCCCTGAAGTCCGCTGCTTTCTTCTAGGCACTGATCTGCCTTCATGTGCAAGAATCGGGAACCTTACGGGCAAAGCACTGCCAACAGAATTTGGGGGACACTGCTCATGTCTTCTGGACCTCAGATTTTAAACACGGTCTGAAAATCACCAATCTGCAGAAACACTCCAGTGCACAGACATCAGAGCCATCGGGAAACTGAGAGCAGGCATCTCCTAGAGGGAGGCTAAGGTGGCATAGGAAGGGGGCAGAGAAGAAAAGCTCAGGTCTCCTGGGACGCTGACTCCTCCTGAGTGTCTGCTGAAACCGCTCAGCCCCGACAGCTGTCTGGGGCCACAGCCCTGCAGCAGGCACAACCATTAGCCACGGCCCGAGCCTCAGGGAGGACAGCAGGGCCTCCTCCCGTCCTGCTTTCTTTTTACCCAGCCTACCCTCCTCCCTGCATCCCTCTGGCTTTAAAGCAGGCATTACTGAAGGACCTTCGCTGCCCTCCCCTGTGAGGCCTTCGCCTACTTCCCAACCCCACATAAGCACCATCCTGCCCAGCTCACCAGCCGACAGCTGTCTTCGCAGGGCTTCTGAGAGCACTGGGCCACTCGCAGCCCCATCACGGCATCCTCCATGTCCGTGCAGGTGCACACATCACAGCCTTCCTCCCAGAACTGGCCCACAGGGTACACGGTGCTGTGGTGGACACACACCTGTGGACACAAGGTCTCCATGAGCCAACACAGCAATAACAAAACCCAGTGTGGCCTCTGCCTACATGGAAGGAGGCATATGAAGTGACTTTGTCCTTGTCCCTTCCTTGTCACAGTGCACAGGCCTGGATGGGACACACTGGCTGCCTTGGCCCGGTCTCGTCCCTGCCTCGATACACTGAACTCCTCCCACGCTGCATGGAAGCTGCCCTCATGCTCTCAGACACAGCAGTGTCGTCGGACTTGGAAACCACCCACACCCAGCCCTCGGGAGTGGACTGCAGGAGGAGGAGGACTGGGCAGGGGCCGTGCACATGTGACCCCTCGAGGCCCACAGACGGCAAGGACGGGGACACCTGAAGCAATGTGCCGAGGAATCTGTCGGCAGCATTCTCAAGGACAAATGACCCAGCCCCTTCGGCATCAAAGGCACAGAAGTGGGGTAAGATTGCTCTGCCCTGAAATGACGTTAGAAACTTAACAGACAGAAAGGGCCAAGGCGGAGAGGGCAGGAGGAGGAGCAGAGGACCGTGAGGTGGGAAGTGGCAGCTGCTCCTGGCCCTGGCCCTGCCCCTGCTCAGCAGCTGTGTGCAGGAAGAGCATGGGGTGGAACAGGCCTACAGTGCTGTTTCCGGTCTCACCTAGGGGCTCAGGGAACATAACTGCGGCCACTCTGCCATCCTGCTCAGGCCAGCAGCTGTAACTGTGCTCACTCAGCTCTTCCTGCCTCGAATTCAGCCCACCTCAAGACCCACGTGCCAACATTTCCCAATCCCTGTCCCCTCCCCCAATCTTCCAGGACAGCTCACCCTGCTGGGTCCCCGCCTGAGACTGTCACTCGCACTTTACTTCATCTGCTCACAGAAGAGTGAGCAGTGACTGCCTCTTACATTTCTCCCACAGCACCTAGCCCAGTTGGTACCTTTCTGTTAGAGCATGGGAGTTGCTCAGTAAATATTATTGGACGGGTAGATTGAGTAAACTACTAAATGGGCCAGGGATTTAGTTCAGTGGCACCACGCCTGCCTTGAAACCACAAGGTCCTGAGTTTGTTTCCCAGTACCAAAACAAAAAATACTAACTGGTCTCTGAATAATTCATGTAATCGTATTATCTCCACAGCCTTCCTGAAAATAGAATAGACACAGTGACAGCAACCTGGGCGCTCAGCCATGATGGTGATATAGCAGAGTCGCCATAAATGCCTTTGAGCCCACTGTCCCCACTAAGGCCAGGCGGGGCGCTGACCACCCACCCACCGACCACGGAGCACCAGGATCAGGCAGCGGGGAGGCTGGGAGGTGCAGGGAGGGGCAGGTGCCGGCCATCACCAGAGCCTGGCAGCCCTACCTTGTCGGGGAGGCAGGTGGTCGTGCTGCAGCCACAGTCGTTGGTGAGCGTGGAGGCCAGGTACCCAGGCGGGCAGCTCACTGTGGTGTTGGCACAGCTGCAGGCGCACTCGTACTCCTCACAGCACTGGGTCTGGCGAAGGGCTGGCGTCCGGTGTGGGGGGCAGACGGGCGGGGGCGGGCTCCTACACTCCTCCTTCCTGCAGGCTGAAGGTGGCACGGGTGACGCGCTCTGTGACACCGGCTCCCGGGGAGCCCCGGACCAGGGAGATAAGTCAGACGTGCGCCCCGCCAGCCAGGGCTGGCAGGAAACGCGAAGGGCTGGCAAGAAACGCGACTAGAGCAAAGAGCAGTTGGTCCGCAGGAAGTGCAAAACCAGGGCAAGGAGTCACTAGGGCTGGGGGTCTCCCGGAGGAGAGGGCGGCCTCGTGGTCCCTGCCGCTCACTCTGCCAAGTGCATCCGGAGGAGGCAGGTGCTGCCAGCCGCTGATCCTGAGCAACACCACATGAGAGTCCCTAAACCCAGGCGGGCGTGGGCCCACCGAACTCGAGGGAGCGCTTTAACACGCCAGCAGCTTGCGGGACCTCGTCCCCACCTCTGTGCTGAGAGCGATGCCCCACAGCTCTAGGCCCTCCGATGTGGAGTGAACGACTCCAGCACTCTGGTCAAATTCAGTGTCATTTTATAAGTGCCAGACCCCATCCCTGAGTCCTTTACCTACTATCTCCAACCGCCTGAGTGACAGTGAGCTTCCCCCTGCCCCGGAAGCTCTGCCCTGAGGAACTCAAGTGAGATTCCAGATCAACAGATGAGGAGTGCACTTCACTCAAAATGGACCCTATGCCCTCAGCAGCTAAATACAGAACCGTTTTTTCCCTTGTCTTACTGTAGCCCAATCCTATGCTCAAAATTATAGTATTTAGTGGTTAATATATAACCCTGCAGAAGGAAAAACCCCTATTAGGCCTCCCTCCCTCTCTTCCTCCCTCCCTCACTCTCTTTCTCTCTCTCCCTCTTTTCTTCCAGCTGGCAGGAAGTGAGCAACTTTTCTCTACCATGCCCTTCCACACCATTCAACCAAGGACTGAACCCACTGAAACCATGAGGTAAAATAACCCTCTCCTCCTTCGGGCTGTGGGTGTTGGATGTCTTGCTCCGGTGATGGGAGAGTGACTAACACAGGTGGGGTCTGGAGCCTTCCTCCCCCCAACCCAAGTGCCTCTTGCTGCTTGCAGCTGTGCCCACACCTGGAACACCTGCAGCTGTGTGCAGCTGGGAGGGTTTGATTCAGGTGTGGCTTTAACCCTTCTGTTACAAATGTACCCCAAGCCCCAATTCAGCTGACTGGGAAACGAGCAATGAGATGATCTCAGACTAGGTCCCCGACAAAGAAGACAGCTGCCCCAGGCCAGAAGAGCATGGGCACCCTGCCCCTGCACCCACAGAGGCCTTACCACAGGTGAAAATGGGTCTGCACTCGCCGGGGTTGGTCAGGGTTGGCTGGAGCCCTCCTTCACAGGGAGGCACTGGGGGAAGGTGGCAGCTCACCAGGTCACACACTGAGGGCCAGAAAGAGGACCACACAGAGCTCAGGGAGGGCGCCCTGCATTACCTGTGGGAAAGACCCCGATTCCTGTCCACGTAGATGTCTACTGTTTTAGTTGATGGTGGTAATCAATAAAGACAGGAGACAGGATAAGGACAGGGGTGATAGGATGGACGGACGGACGGTTGGATGGACGGTTGGATGGATGGATGGATGGATAGATGGAAGATAGATGGATAGATGGATGGATGGATGGATGTCACATGTTAAGATCACACTGACAACCCTTATCATCTGGTGGGACTTCCAGGTCTCAACCAAGCTGGACCTCAGTTTCTTCTTCCATAAGGCAGGAATTCTACCTTATTGGGTTACTCTGAGGATTTCATAAAACACTTGGTAGGATTTAATAACACCTATAAAATGGGGGCTTGAGTTAAAGGCCCCCTCCAGTCTTCTCTGCTGCTAGCATTTTAAGACCGACTTCATAAAACTTTTCTCAAGTCAGATCTCCATCCCTGTATGAGTTCTGAGAAATCCCATCAGCATGGGTAAGTTTCTCAGGTTACTGGTTCTGTGCTAGATCCCCCAGCTTTCCCTTGATCTGGGTGCTCCCTTGAAAATCGGCATCACTGGAAGTTTACACACCTGAGCTTTGTATCTTCTTCCACACAACCAATGAACACGTTTGACAGGACAGGAACGCATGTGCTCAAGATTTTCTGTCCTCCCTGAACTTGCTAAATTACACCGTTAGTCATCCCACACGCACCAGGGAGTTGCAGGCCCACCGTGCAACCCTCTATGGCCTGCTGAGATCAGGGGGCCATGTGACAGCCTTCCCTACAGCCAGGGCCCTCGAAACCTTATTGGAAAGGAAAATGGGTGACGAGTTTGAATTTTTTCTTCTCTACACCTCTCCAGCACCCAGTCATCACCCTAATCTTCTACTCTTTATGTACTTATTCCTGGTGGTGGGGATGGACCCCAGGCCACACACACGAGGCAATCCTCAACCCCCAAGCTAGTTCCTCAGACCTCACGCCTGCTCTTAGACTTGACATTTGATGCTCTGCTCTAGAATCTTCCTAGGGAGATGACCCCATTCTGTGGAGCTTCCTTTTAGCTCCCCATCTCCTTTCCCACCACCTGTGCGGGCCAGGCTGGGCCCTGGGAAACCTACCACACTCATACTCCAGGCAGCACTGGCTTCCACTCTGGCGGAGGCGGGCCACTTCACACGGGCCGCACGTGGGGGCTGCAAGAGGAGAAATAAACAGCAATGCCATCTAGAGAAGGCTTCCGTGCATTCTCATTCGCTGAAAACCAGCCTGGGCCTGTGTGGGTCCCACACAGAATCAGACCATGGGACTGGGACAGAAGGGGTCTCCCTGGTGCGTCCTACTCAACGTCTTCCCTTTTACCCTCCAAGCGACACCAAGGCTGGTGCGAGGTGGGGACGGGGGGAGAGTTAGATCTGAGTGTACACTCCAGTGTAGGATGGGCCCTGATTCCAGTGAGGGAAAACACAGGTGGTCAGGGACACGAGCTCCCTGTAACCTCTGGGGACCTGTCCTGCCACACAGGAAACGGCAGCCAGGACACCAGGCAGGGGACCCACTCACCTCGGGCTGTGGGGCAGGGCTGGGACGTGCAGTTGATCTTCCGGCCACTGAGGCAGGTGCAGATCTGACAGGGCTGATGCTCTGGGACCCAGGACTCCAGGAGCTGAGGGAGACAGGGGCTTAGAGCGGGCACAGGGTGCTCACAGAGCAGAGCTCCTGGGGTCAGTGCCCCACCCTGGCTTGGTTTCCTCTCCTAGGATTGGCCTGGAGCCTCCTTATGCCACATGGGTGAGCAGAAGCAGAAAGAAGGAGATGGTGAGGCCTGGGAGGCCAAGGTCCTCAGAAAGACCATCACAGGCTGCTTTGCAAACTAGACTTTAGAATGTAGCCCTACAATGACAGACCACAGACTCTGGGAAACTCTGGCTGCACAGGAAATACTACAGAGAATCGACAAATGGGATCACATCAAATTAAAAAGTTTCTCCACAGCAAAGGAAACCTCCAACAGCGTGAAGAGACAGCCCACAGAATGAGAAAAGAAGTTCCCAGCTACTCCTCAGACAGAGGGCTAATATCTACAACATATAAAGAACTCAATTAGACCCCTCAGATTTAAAGACCCAGTCCAAAAATGTGCATCTGAAGTGAACAGACACTTCTCAGATGAAGAAGTATTAACAGACAGTAAGTACATGAAAAAATGCTCAACATAGTTGGCCATTCATGCAAATTAAACCATTGAGATCCCACCTCACCCCAGAAAGAATGGTCATTATCAAGAAATGAACCAATAACAAATGCTGGCAGGGCTGCAGGGGAAAAAGGAACCCCTCTCCATTGTTGGTGGGAGTGTAAATTGGTAAACCACTATGGAAAGCAGCATGGAGATTTCCCCAAAAATTAAAACTAGAGGTTTCATTTGACCCAGCTATTCCCCTGCTAGGTATCTTTCTGAGAGAGTTAAAGTCATCATACCATAGTGATACATGTATACCCATGTTTATAGCAGCACTGTTTACAATACTTAAATATTGAAAATAGTGCATATGCCCATCAACAGATGGATGGATAAAGAAAATGTGATATTTATGTACAATGGAATACTACTCTGCCGTAATGAAGGATACATGTGTTTAGGTAAATGAATGTACCTCGAGACCATAATCATAAGTGAAATTGATCAGACACATAAGTTTAAATATGGTGTTGTTTCTCTTGTATGAGAAACACAAAGTATAAACAAAAAACAAAATGGAAGATAGATATTAGGAAGTAGGAAGAACTTATTCAAATGGGAAGGGGAATAAGAAATGGGGGAGGAAGAAGGAAGAGAGAAGAATTTAAAGGAAAAAAGAACTGAAGGAAAAAGTGGAATTAGAGCTCTTGTTAATTGGGGAGGGGAAAGGGGGTGGAGGGAGGGGATGGAGAAAGGGACTGTCATGGCTGTGTCCAGATGTCCCCCCAAAACCTCAGGCAGTCATAGGTGGGGCTTTTTCAGAGTGGCTGGATCTACAGTGTGTGATGCTGAGATTGATTCATGGTGCAGTGCTAGGATCAAAGGCACTAGGATTAAGGGTGTGAGTGCTACTCACCCTTAGATGCCTGGATAGGATACAAGGGATAGGGCCGAGGATTTAGCTCAGTGGTTTGGCCACCTGCCTTGCAACTGCAAGGACCTGAGTTTGATCCCCAGTACCAAAAAAAAAAAAAAAAGATACAAGGGACAGGAAGAGCTGCAGTCATTTCTTGTTGCTTTGCTGCCTTCTGCCCTCT